GTCTTCGTCTCCGGGCGACGGAACTGATACTAACAGTTCCCACACAACCACCACAACAGCCATCAGTGGTGACAAAATACCCGAAGACTTAGATTTGCAACTGTTTTCATTAGACCAAAAGCTATACGACAGCTCCGATGGCATCGATTTTGGCCGCAATCACCACATTATCAACAATTACCACAAGAACACAGAAGAATACGACCGTTCGCTGCCTCTCATCGCCCGACAGATAGCGGTAAACGAGATGAACGACTCGGAGGTGAATATACTGAAAGAGCTATACGAGGCCACAGTTGTGCTCAGACACCCGTCATTAGACACCGTCAAAGAGATCACTGACTTCGAGGAGCTGAAGACAGCTACCACTTCCAAGTTTGAGTACGAGATCCGCAATTTGATCAAAATGTGTAAACAGTTGAACGCATTTCACGGCATCTGCGAAGAGGACAAGATATCGCTACTGAAGTACCGGTGCTTTGAAGTGATTTTTTTGCGAACGATCACTATATTTGACTTCCAGTCCAACGACTTCAAGATGTTTGCCGTAAGGAAAACAATTTTCAGTCAATTTTTATTGAATTTTCATATTTCGTTGAAAAATAATTTTATTGATTGAATGTAACACTTGTTTTACCACTATTTAGGACGAGAGCACTTCAATAGTGTTCAAAATAGACTTAATTAAACACACAAAACGAGGCCTCTATTCAGAGCTCAACGAGTATTTGCGATTTATTGGCCCGGAATGGGATTCAGACCCCATTATACTCGAAACGGTATATAATTAATTGCTATTTAAATAGATATACAAAATAAATACAGTAGTAATCAATATTCATAGTATGTAATTTAAATGTGATTTTTTGTGTCGCACACCATAGTTGATGGTTATATCGCTATTCAACCCCAACTGTCCAAACCTCATACACCGGGAAGTTGTGAAGTGAGTTATCAATTTAGTTAACATTAATATTGATTAATTAATTATATTCTGTGTATAACTCATTGGGTGATAGGTTTCAACAGCAACTGTATATGCGTTTACTTCACCGCTATTTAAGGCACAGATATCGGACGGAAAGCGATAAGAAATACATGAAACTCATGAATACGATTACCTTTGCCAACACATTGGGCCACAAACAACGGGGTAATGTCACCGATCGTGGTCTCGGTTCCTGCGGACAACTTATCGGCGAAATTCTCGACCTCAAGGCTTAACCAATACCTCATTTTATGGTTAATTGATTGATTAATATGGTGTACATCTAAACCATATGACCACATGCTATGAAATTACCATGATCACTGCTGAAGACATCACACCCGCCGGTCTCACACCTCAAACAACATGATACTCAATAAAGTTATCTTCATATGACATGTAGACCAAAAAAAGTTATAACAATTTTTATCTTATATGTTATTAAAAATATAAATAAAGAATTTTAAAAAAGTAATTTTAATTAAATTTTTACCCAAATTAACATGGACAAACTAAATAAAACTTTACAATATGCATACTGTACCTAGATGTAATTGAATAGTTTGTAAAACTTTCAAACTTGATGTTTAATAGTGTGAACACACAGATAGGGGACGCCACCGGCTGTGGCACTGATACTCACGTTAAACGCCATTGAAATTAGTGTTACGTTTTGTGTTATTGTTTTGACACAATTTAAGCTAACTTTAATTATAACCATTTATTTGACTCTATTTTTTGCCAAAAACCACGTGTTGTTCACTCTATTAGACCACAACATCATGTCTTCGGCCAATATCTTCTACAAATCGCCGCTCAATGGCTTCAAAACACGATGCGTTCAATTGGATGGACACGAGAAGAGTGTCCATCAGTTGTCGCAACGGATATCACTTCTTGAGGTATGGATTCAATGCTCACATTTTGTTGTTATCATTAAATACTAAACTCGTGTCCACTCTTCAGGCGATTCCCGAAAAGGACTTCAAATTATACGCAAACGACAAACCGTTGTCAGCGAGCGATGTCTTGAGGGACGGCTCAGTGGTGTGGCTCTCGATGGGAGGCCTGAGGGGCGGAAAGGGAGGCTTCGGGTCGATGTTGAGGGCTATCGGCGCTCAGATTGAGAAGACCACGAATAGGGAGGCGTGTCGTGACCTCACGGGTCGTCGACTGCGAGATATCAACGAAGAGAAACGTATTAAAGAGTGGATCAAAAAGGAGGCGCTCAGGAAGAAGGAGATGGACGAGC